TACAAGTGAGAAAACTGAGGTCTAGAGAGTCTAAATATCTTGCCTGAAGTCACGAGCCTTTTGAGCGACAACAGTGAGGCCAGAACACCTCCCAGGGTGTCATGCCGGGCCCCTCCTCTGCCCCTCTGTCTCTGGGGAGACAGAGCGTCATGGTGGCAAACAGGAGACCCCCCACCTCTGCCTTCATGTTCCGCCCCATGCCCAGTGGGAGGCGGCCCTGTGGGCGACGCGGGCCCCTGCAGGTCTTGTCCATCACCACGTTCAGGCCACGTGGGGCCCCATCCCTCACCATCTGCCCTCTCTCCCCGACTCGGGCAGGGCTGCAGGATTCATACAAAATTAACTGGAGGTTCCGTTTCACAGCACCCCGCAGGATCCGGTTCCCACCGCCCCCTGCCGCTGCCTGGTCTCCTCTGTCCCCTTTCTGCCCCACCATGAAATATCCAACGCGGGGAGCACCCTGAGGGGCCTCTCTGCCCACCCCAGCTGACGGCCGGTGGTGCGGGGTCTGGAGTGAAGGACGCGTGCCGGGTGAGCTGAGTGGCTCAGGGCTGCCCCTCGGGGCTCTGGGGACTGAAGCGAGTGTTCCCTCGGTGACGTCCTGTCCCCAGTCTGCAGCCTTCCATGCCCCACAGAGAGGGACGCAGGACGTCTCCATTGCTTCTTTCTCTCTCCCTTCGTTCTGCCAATATTTTTGACCCTCCAAGTGCTGCAGCAGGTGCTGGGGACACATGAAGAATGAAACACAGCTCCTGTGCCTCTGGGCTCACAGGCCTCCCCAACACCCACTACCCATCTTTCTGGATCATGCGAAGCCACCTCCTCTGGGAAGCCTCCTCTGATAGCACGCTGACTCTGTTGGGCACCATCTCATTTAATTGCCTAATTCTTGAACAGGGATGGGGCCAGAGCACGTTGTTGTTGTTTTTAAAAAGAGACTATTTGGGTGTGATAATAACAATGACAGTGGTCATCTTTTTGTGTCTCGGGGCTGCCACACACAGGGCTAGACCCTTCAGGCAGTGATCTGATTTAGTTCTCACACATTTCTATAGGGAAGGTAGTGTTCTTATGCCCATTTCACAGAGAAGACAACCGAGGCCCAGAGAGGATTCACTGAGCTCTCCCAGTGTCTCTGAGAGTAAGCCAGCCAGGAGTCAGACCTGGGCATCAGGGGTTCTATTGCCCCAGGCCGGATGGGTGTGGAAGGGCGGGGGGACTGTGGAGGGCATCAAGGGAGGGCACCGCCAGGATGGATGAGAACCCATGGTGGGAGAGGAGAGCAGTGGTGCTCAGTGGCCCAGTGACATATCCAGTATTGCCAGGCCGTGGGCGCCAAGCTTGTGGTCAGGGTGGGCGGCTGGGGGTGCCCTGGGTGGGAGCTGACCTCTATGGCTTCAAACCCCCTCGACCACCCTCAGCAGTCTTTTTGCCTTAAAGTAGCTGGACTTATGGGAGGCCTGGGGCACTTTCCCAGAGTGTGTCTCAGAGGCCACTCCCTGCTGACATCAGCAGATGAGGGCAGAGGGTGTTGGGATGGCCCACCTGGGCCTCTGTCTGGAGCCGGGACAGCCCCAGATCACAGGGCTTTGGAGCCACGGGCTGGGGCGGGAGGCCAAGCATCGCTCTGAGTCTGAAGAGGGCCGAACAGGGCAGACAAAGGCTGAAGGGGACAGAGAAGGTGGAAAGTGCCCTGGTGGCTCCCCCTGGCAGACAGAGGGCACCTTTGTAGGACTGTTCCCAGGTCACACGCGTGTGGCTTGGGGCTGAGGGCATGGCTGGGCGTGGTGCCTCACACAGTTGTATTCAAAGTCTGCTCTGATGTGAGCCGTGGTGGCGACTTTGAGCCCTCTTGCTTCCCATCTGTGAAATGGGTGACACCACCTGCGTGAGAAGGTGGGTGATAAGGCTGCAGAAGAGCCTAGGAAAACGCGTGCAGCACCAGCTGGGACATGGACCAGTGTCCCGGCCGGAAGACTCGGATTCCAGCCTTTCTGGAAATCATCGCTACTTCTTCCAAAGTGGTGACAATCCTACTGGAAACAACAAGAGCTGACGCTGACTGAGGAGGACGCACATGCTGGGCCTCACTCGTGTGCCCGACCTCACCCGGTGTTCAGAATCTGTGTAACTGATGGGGAAATGGAGGTGTTCAGTCTCTGGGGCTGAACTCTAACACACAGCGCTGTCCTCACGCCTGGTGGATGCTGTGTTAAACTATTTCACTTTATCCTCATCACAGCCCTATGAGGTTAGTTAGTTAGTTAGTTAAGTCGCTCAGTCGTGTCCGACTCTTTGCGACCCCATGGACTGTAGCCCACCAGGCTCCTCTGTCCTTGGGATTCTCCAGGCAAGAATACTGGAGTGGGTTGCCATTTCCTCCTGAGGTAGTCACTAGTATTTTCCTGTTTTTTTCAGATGAGAAAACTAAGGCACAGGGAGGCTGAGTAATTTGCCTAGAAACACACAGCTGTCAAACCGCCCAGCTGGGATTTGAATCCCAGTCATCCAAGTCCAAGTCCAAGGGTAGCATTACACTTGTCGGTCCTTCCTCAAACCTCTCCCAGCTCCATCTGCAACCTGGGAGATCCCTCAGGGCAGCAATGCAGCAGGGCTCTGGTTAATCCTGCTATGGGCTTTCCCTCTCCTCGGGGAGCTTTCAACCATCAGACATCTCTCTTGATGCTCATGAAATATTAGGACACCAAGGTCCGGTGAGGTCAGACAGAAGTCTCAAAGGCGTACAAATGACAGGTGGCAGAGCTACAGTCATTATCACTTCCGTTTTACAGATGAGAAAGCAAAGTCTCCTTTATTTTTCTGTTCACATAATGCCTCACTTCTTGCAGCACACCAGCAGTCTGGGGAATTCCATCTAAGAAATGCTGCTCTGTGCCATACCACATGCTTTCCCTTTTCTTTCCTCCATGGCCAAGTTCAAATACCACCTCCTCCAGGAAGTCCCCCCAGCTCACTTCTCTGATCCCTGGGGCCCTTGGCTGCACTAGGTCTGGGATTTGCTGTTGTGGCTGCTCAGCTGCTTGAGAGCTGCTCTCTGTGGAGCGGGGACTCAGTGGCCACATTTCAGGGTTTTATGGGACAGTTATCCACCCTCCTCTATGCCAGCTGGGAGCTGGGTGTTCAGAGAGGAGCAGGATGGGGCTCCTGTCCTTAGGCATGCACCTGCTGCCCCCAGCCCTGGAGTGTGGCTATGAGCCACTCAGTGTCCCAGAGCCTGTCAGGTGGGAGGGGAGGGTGGGTGTCTTAACCCGGGATCCAGGGCGCAGCTTTGAAGAGCTCTGTGAACCTGATGGCCGTGTAGACCACACTGTTGCATGTAGTTGGCTGTTTTTCTGGGTAGGGGAGGGGACATAGTTTCTATCAGGTTTTCTACAGAGTCTGGGGGTCCAGAGACACTTAAGAATTCCTGACTCAAGAGAATCACCTGGTCCCACTCAAAATGCAAAGACCATTCGGACAACCCTGTCTCCTAGCAGGCTAGTTGTGCCAACCTGATGGTGGAGGACAGCACAGACTATTCTACCACGGGTAGGTGTTCACAGTAGGCTGGGACCAGGAGGCCCCCAGGCAGAGCCCACTCTCAAGCCCTGAGCTACAGTCACACAGCGAAGGAAGGATGCTTCCCCTATTTCCACTCTCCCCGCCAAAAACCAGACCAAACATCAAAGAAGAAGATGTTTCAAACTTCTGCCTAGACTCAGCAGCATGGGCAAAACATCAGAGACAGGAGCCAGTCTGGGAAGTAGGACTCATCTTGGCTTCTCCTCCTGACCTGAGAGAGGCGGGCCCCAGACCAAGAGGGACACTGACCCCCAGCACTGCTGGGCACGCGGGTGCCGGTACAGTGAGGGACTGCCTGGCCCCGGCTGAGTGGCAAGGTCCGCGGGCAGCCTCTGCAGGGAGTGTGTTCAGGGTTAGCACCCAGCAGGGCCCAGGGCATGGGGGCTGGAGTTGGCCGATGGTGTGGGAGGGATCTCCGGCCTCAAATTTTGTCACCTGTCAGTGGGGGTGAGATTTCAGACACTGCCTGCCTCCCAGATTGTGGCCTATCCCTGGAGGAGGATTGTCATCCACTCTCTTTAGAATAAGAATGCCTGCCACACATTGAGCACCTACTGTGTGCATGCTTGGGCTTCCACTAGGCACTGTGAGATAAGCATTAGCCCCATTTTCCAGAAGAAGAAACTGAGGCAGCCTCTTTGTGCAAAGCTGCAGTGCCAGGGCAGAGTGCCTCACACCTGAACCTGCAGGGTGTATGTAGGGGACGCTTCTCTCTCGTGGTGAAGGGAAGGTGACTGTGGGGAGGGGACCCAAACTCTGAGCTCTGGTGCCCAGGCGAGGCTGCTGTCTTTCCTCTCCGCCCTGCAACAAATAACCTGGCCTTGGTCCCCTCCAGGGGAGCCCCCAGGAGGCTGAAACCTCCCCTCTCTGGAGATCACAGGCCTGCTCATTAGCAGCGCTAGTGGTAAAGAACCCATTTGCCAATGCAGGAGACATAAAAGGTGCGGGTTCGGTCCCTGGGTTGGGATGATCCCCTGGAGAAGGAAAAGGCAATCTGCTCCAGTATTCATGCCTGAGAAATCCCACAGACAGAGAAGCCTGGCGGGCTACCGTCCGTAGAGTTGCAGAGAGTTGCACATGACTAAAGTGACTTCACACGCATACACAAGAAAGCCCCACGCCATCTTCAAGGTACGACACACATGGGCGTCCGCCACCTTTCCCATGATGACCCAACCTCCTGCCTGTCTGTCATCCTAGTAGCTTCATGGCTGCCCCAGACTGAGGGATCCTCAATCAGTCTGGAAGTGTGAGAGTCAGACATGACCAAGCCCAGCGGCGGGGAGCTGGGGAGCTGGAATCGGCTCATTGGTTCCATGCTGAAGCCCGGATGTGCAGATTCCTGGGGCCTGGAGCGGGGAGCCCAGGGTCTCACTGACCCCTGAACCCAGACCCCAGGAGGGAGCCTCCGCACCTACCTTCGACAGGGGAGGTTTTGAGGCGCCGGCAGATGGCGTCAGTGTCCCCGTAGGTCTCCTTGATCTTGACCACGGCCTCGGTGCCCCGTAGCTCCATGAGGGAGCGCAGCTCCTCCATCGTGCACCCGAACTCGCCCCCATGGCTCGACTCATTTCTTTGGTTTTTGGAGTAAAAGTCGCTGTTGGTCATGTCACCCATGTCTGCCACAGGCCCCGCTCGGGGCGGGCCCGAGGGTCAGCGCTGGACAGGAGGCCGCCGGCCAATGGCTCCGCGTGGCTGTCCCCGGCACAGCCTCACTGGATTGCTGTGGCTCCGGGCGGCCGGCTCCAGGGGGTGGCTGAGGTGGGCTGGCGACAGTGGCGGTGGGCTCTGAGGGGCGTCCCCAGGCGCGGGGCGAGATCCAGGGGCCGGAGGGGCTCAGGGCTGCAGACCCAGGAGTCTCCATTCAGCGGGGCCCATGCTGCTTCCGGGAGCCGGCATCTACATGGTCAGGGGTGGGGGCTCCTGCAGGGACAAGCAGAGTGGTGACGAAGGTCAGGTGCCAGAGGCCTCAGGGGACAGGTGCTCAGAAAGGTACCCAGGCGCCACACACAGACACACACACCCTACCCCAAATAAGACCCACTACACATACACACACCCAGATGCTGATGTTCATAAAAAACCGCATCATGCACCAGCACACGCCGTAAACCCAACCGTACTGATGCCCACCGGGCACTCCACACCATTCCTCCCCCAGGTTCAGCCTGATGCATCCTTATAACACACTCTAAACCCCAACAGCCCACGGGGCACACACTGGCCTCACAACACGAACCCTGGTGGACACACAGCCTCCGACACACAGCTCAGGGTGAAACACCCAACTCGCCTACTTTAGGGCCTGGCCTAACCAAAGCCACACACACCCCCCAACACAGGGCTCCCCTTCGCACATGCCCCGGTGGACACCCCTCCCGACCATGAACACTGTCACACGTAGTCACATTTACAGGCGTCATCTTCACAGCCCCACCTCCCCCCCTCAGACACACCCGTGTGCACAACCCTGCTTACACACAAGCCATGCCCACACAATCGGGGCACATCCCCCTCCCCCAAAGTTCACAGCTCCGAGGCTCCTCCCCTCCAGCACAGATCCTTCCCGTGTCCAGGTCTCCTGTGTCTGCTGATACGACTGTTCTCCCCGTAGGCGTGGGGGTGGAAGAAAGCCCCCCGCCTCCACCCGCAGCCCGCAAGCACTCTGATCAAGGCCCTTGTGTCCTGGCCAGAGGGTCCAGCTCATGTACGTTCAACGAGATGTCACCGTGGCTGTCAGCATGCGCTGGGCTCCACGGAACCCTCACCTGGGGGCCCCGCAGTCCAGCACCATGGACAGCGGCGGCTGGGTTCCCTCGGGGAGCACCGGCGGCTTCTCCCTGCCCGCCCGGCCACCCTTGCAGGAGTGTGGCATCTGTGAGGCTGCCAGGAGAGAACCCAATCCACCCAGACACCCAACACCGGTGGCCAAGGCCCCGGCAAGCGTTGGGTGACAAAGGGCCTCGGCTGAGCTCGGCTGGGCCTGGCACGGGGACTGGCCCCGCCCAGCAGGCATGGACAACTGGCCATCCGAGGTCCAGGACAATGAGGGGGAAGGGGTGCGGGCAGGCAGACGGGACTGAGCCCCCACCCCGGCCCCAGCCCCACCCGGGTGTCCCCTTTCCTTCACAATCCTTTCCTGTTGCACAGGATTTTAGAGCTGGAGAGTAATTTCAGGCCTCCTCTCATTTTCCCAGGGAGGAGCCTGAAGCTCAGCAAGGGAAAAGAAGTTGTCCAGGGACACAGAGAGCAAAGGTGGACGGAGCCCACGGATGGCCTGGATCTCCCGACTCCCAGCCCGCTGCTCTTCCCCTCTCACTAGGGGGCGCTCCCTCCTTTCTCGCTGAAGACCAGGGCCAATGGAGGGGGAACAACAAAGGATTCTAAATCACAGCAATCCGGGTTCAAATCCGAGCTCTCCCAAGTCCTGGCTGTGGGGCCCTGGGCGAGCCCCTTCACTTTTGTGAGGCCCGGTTTCTTCATCTATAGAAGAAGTCAGTCTGCCCTGGGCCCCTGCCGCCGCTCAGGTTACTGGAAACTAATTATGAACCATGTTCAAATCCAGTGCATGTCCACTCAGGGTGCAGGGCTCCCCAGCCTGGGGCAGGGGGTGCTGGAGCCACAGGAGAAGCCTATCACACCTCAGAGGAGGGCCCTTCGCTCAAGGATGCAGTAGGAAGCCTGGTTTTCACACCGGGGCCAACTCGTATCGCGCGGCGTAGAACTTACAATGGAGCTGATGCCTTAGGCAGAGGCACGGGGCACCGAAAGTGTGTGCTCGGGGCTCCCCCCACAGTCCTGCAGGAACACTCAGGGCCATCGGCCACCCGAGCACACACCGCCCCCAGGACCCATGAGTTTGGGCCCCAGTGGTACATCTCTGAGAGGAGCAGGTGAAGCAAGGACCCAGCAAGGCTGTGTGCAGAGATGCTGTGGAGGCGCTCGGAGACACAGCTCCTGGGTTCAAGTTCTGCCTCCTCTCAGCAGAATGGGAGGCAAATTAACTTCAGTTTCATTATCTTAAAAAAAGCAAGGAGAGTAATAGTATCTACCTCATAGGTATTATGAGGCTTAAATGCATTATTTCATGCAGAATATTTAGAATCAAGACAAGCACATGGTAAGCACTAATTCTTGTGACTATCACCAATCCACACAAGCACTTTTTGAGAAAGTCTTGTTACTCCCTGGAACATGTGTGGAAACTGAAACCCAGAGAGGTGAAGTCACTTGTCCAAGGTCACAGAATGAGTGAGTGGCAGAGCTGGGATTTGAACCCAGGCAGTCTGGATCCAGAGACATATCCTTAATCAGGAGGCATTGCTGCCTTCCCTGGTAGTATCTCCCTCACGGGGCTCTACGATGCTTAAATGAAGTGCCATATGTGAACGAAAGTGCTTCGCAAACCACGGGACTCTAACCCTGAGGTGCTGTTTTCTATCTGTTCTCTTGCTACCTGCGGCGTGGCTTACAGGCACCGATAATTACATCTCTGACACCACGAGCTATGAGAACCGTTAGCAGTAATTACATCTGTGATGACAACAGTAGGCATTAGTTAATGGGCGACTGGTGATTTTAATGGCTGTTGTGTGAAGATGAACAATGATCTTCAACCATTTATGCATTCACCCTCCCATCCGTCCATCCATCCATCCATCCAATCATCCATTCATTAACTGTGCTGTGGGCACCTACTTTGTGCCAGGCAGTGGATAATCCAGACATGGGTCCTGCCCTCCAGGAGCTGACAAGGGGCAAGAGAGACAATCAAAAGACCTGTTATAACATGATGGGTTTGCCACAACAGGGAGTCAGTCCCAGATGCTGTGGATTTCTAGAGCAGGAAGATGTGATCGAGCCCAGGGTATCAGGGAAGATTTTTCTCTTAATATGAGTAGGGAATATTCTTCCCCTACAGGAAAATGGGCTTCGTGACTTTGGAGAAGTCACCTAACATCTCTGGGGCTCATCTGCCTAGTGAGGTTGGCCCACCTGTCTTACTGGCTGCTCTAAGAACCCACTGAGATCCGGTGTATGGGTCTCTCTGCAGCTCCTGGCCCCTGGAGCAGACACTCTGCAGTAAGCTGGCTTCTGCGCCTCCTCCCACCTCCCTCCTACCTACCCCTCCTGTATTAGCAAGTGCACCTCCCTCAAGGTGGCAACGAGGTTCATTTACAGCCAGCTCTCAACTGCACACTGACAGTCACCCCTGTCCTAATAAATGGGCACACAGCCTGCTATGGACTGAATGTGTCCCCCTGCCTCAAGTTCATATGGTGAAGGTCCCAATCCCTAGTGTGATGGCGCTGGAGGTGGGGCATTTGGGAGGTAATTAGGTCATGAGGGTGGAGCCCTCATGAATGGGACTAGTCTTCTTATCAAAAGAGACATGAGAGAGACGATCTTTCTTGACAGTGTGAGGACAGTGAGGAGACGGCCATCTGTAAGTCAGGAAGTGGGTTCTCACCAGGAACTGAATCTGCCGGTAACTTGACCTTGGACTTCCCAGCCTCCAGCACTATGAGAAAAAAAAATTTCTGCTGTCTAAGCTGCTCGGTCTATGGTATTTTGTTATCTAGCAACCTGAGCTAAGCCATGGGCCTGGGCAGGGCAGGGAGCCAGCCCTGGGCCCAGACAGGTTAAGCGGCACACTAGGGCTCACGCAGCCAACGGGCCCAGACAGGTTAAGCGGCACACTAGGGCTCACGCAGCCAACGGGGCCGCAGCCCGTTGACAAGCTCCTCCCGGCTTCCCGAGCTCCTGCTGGCTGGCCGAGACCAAGCCTCTTTCCTGCGGGGCCTCAGGGTCCCGCGTGGAAAGTGAAGACCTGGAGCTGTGAAGAGGCTGGGGTCCCTTCTGGCTCTGATACAACAGCCCCTTTGGACTCCAGGAGAACGTTCTGACCATATTGGGTTTCTGCATTTCAGTTTCATCTTATTAGCACTTAAATAACTCTGTACTGTTATACTTCAATGACTCAAGAATAGGTTAGGGGCACCTTAATAAAAAGTCTTTGCCAGGAGAGACTGACAGAGAGGAAGGAGCAACACTTTGTTGTGTGTTTTTTTTGGAGTTAATTTAACAAGAAGAAATCCATCTTTCAAAGGAAGGCGTTTTTTTTTTTTAAAAAACACCCCCAAACCTAAACCAACAGCTTTCAAACCCTAAAGGATGGTAGCTGGGACACTGCAGATGAATTAGGCGCTAAAAATAACTTTCGGATGCCGAATCCTTCTGTTTTCAGATGTGCTGAATTTAAATGCCACCTTAATATGTATTTAGAAAGTCACTCTTTAGTTTAAATCTTCCCCAGCACCAATAAGTGAGAGATGTAGGGACACAGACTCCATCTGGAGATCCCCGATGACGAGGCCTGACGCTGACAGGTTGGGGTTCTGAGACTTGGGGTGAGGTGGGGGGCAAGGCTCCTCACCCCTCCCTGCGCATCCGTCTCAACTTCCCGGAACGGAGCCAGCCCCACGGCCTCCCTCTTAGGGCCAGGTGAGGACTCAACTGAGATGGAACTTGGCCCAGGGAAAGGGAGACTCGTTAAACAGTGACTGTTCTGACGATGCTAACTTAACTCACTCCCCTCCTCTATTTGCACACCCAGACTGTCCCCACGCTGCCGTCCTTAACACAGGTCTCAGGCTGACGGCGTCCATCCCCGCAAGGCCCCCAGCACCACTTGGAAGGCTGGGGAGGGTCCCCGCTTGTAGGCACAGCTTGCGGGGCTAGTCTCCCCTCTGCTCTGGTCTTGGCTGATTCCCCCAGGCAGGACATTTTCTTTCCTCTCCTGGATGCAAATTCCGACCTTTCTGTAGCCCCTCCCCACACCCCTCTCCAGCCAAGGGGGCCCTCCTGCTGGGTGCTGACAGGGGTGAGACGGGGGAACTCAGCTGGCAGCTGGGGACCGAGGGACAGCCTCACGGGACAGCCAGGTGAGGAGCTGTAGTTACTGCCTCAGCCGCCCCTCTCTGAGAGAGGGGATGTCCTTCACGTGTGAGTGTGTGCGCGCATCAAAGCTCACAATGACAGCCTCGGCTTTGAATTCTCACAGTCAGGGAGAGAGAACGGGGAAAGAGGAAGGGAACTGAAAATGAATACCTCAGAAGCGAGTTTAGTGCTATTTTTAGAAAACTCCTATCCTGTTAACCAGAAAAGGAAAATCTAAAAAAAAAAAAAAAAAACCCACAGAAGCAGCCACGCATCAGCCTCAAAGGCACAGATGGCAGAAGCAGGGACAGGGGGTGGGTTGTTAGGGACTTGGGGTTTCTCACACAGCTTCCCAGCCTCCTGCCTGAATTGAGGGAGAGTGGATCCCCTGACCACCGGGGTCAACTCTCCCCATGGCCCCATGTTCTCCACAGGCGTTTCCAGTGATAGACGGTGGGGAAACCCCCACATTCCTGGTCCTCCAGGTGCCTCACATACCCACTCATCCAGTCACTCATCCATCCATCCATCCATCCATCCATCCACCTACCTATTCAGTAAAAAGCTGCATCTCAGGCCCTGCCTCAGGCACTGGTTCCAGAGAGAGCAAGGGAAGTGCACAGACCTCTTTTCTAGCTGTTGAGGGTCTGTTTACTCTGCTACAGAGCCCCCCAAAACCCCAAGGTCAGGGTCTGCTGACCAAGTTGAATGATTCCTGCACCGCTCTTGCTTCAGGTTTTGGGGCAATGTAATCCAAATGGCTTCCCTGATAGCTCAGCTGGTAAAGAATCCGCCTGCAATGCAGGAGACTCTGGTTTGATTCCTGGGTCGGGAAGATCCCCTGGAGAAGGGAAAGGCTACTCACTCCAGTATTCTGAATTGGAGAATTCCATGGACTGTATAGTCCATGGGGGTCACAAAGAGTCAGACATGACTGAGCGACTTTCATTTTCAATCCAAATAGCATTTGCCTGGGAACTGCATCTGCGGAGTTCCAGTCTCGGCTTCGCCTCCACTATTAACACGGATTGCTTAGCACACGCTTGCATGGGCTGTGTGGTATCACTGTTCCCACCTTATAGGAGAGAAAGCTGGGCTCAGAGGGTTGCAGACGGCCAGTGCCTTACAGATGGGTGCCTGGTTGTGTCCAAAGCCTCTGTGTCCCACTGCCTTCCACCAACTCACAGCATAGCCTCAGACCACTGTCTTCTTCCCTGTGGAAGAAGGCAGTTCCCTTCCCTATAAAGTGAGGGGCAATTGGACAGATACTCAGTCTTAGAGAGCACTTCAGCACCATCCTCAAGGATTCTCCCATCAGCTGACACTTGCCGCTCAGGACACATGCACTTCCTGAGCCTCCTTGCTGCCCTGCCACGCCCAGCAGGAATGTCACCTTGGCGGCCAGCCGAGTCCCGCTTGTCTGGAGGCTGGAGGAAGGAGAGAGGTCCTAGAACCTAGGAATCACAGCTGACGAGAACTCACCTGCTGCCTTTGACACCCACTGGCCCTTGCCCTCTGACCTCTGCATGGAAGTGCCTGCCTGCCAAGACTTGCACACTTTATGTGCTCCCTGTTACACACCTTCCCTTTAGAAAAAAAAAAAGAAAAACTTGGAGGGTTTTTTGATGAAAGAAAAACAGTAAAGTTTTAAAAAAAACTTAGGAGGGTTTTCTGATGAAGGGCAAACAGTAAAATCACCAGCAGACAGAGGCAAGAAAGCTTAGCTGAGGCAGAAGAGTGTCGGGAGAGACTTCATCTTACCTCCAAGAGAGGGGACACGCGGTTTGAGGGCTCTGCCTAAGATGGATCAGCTGCTCTGTTCAGCGTCCTCTGCGTGTGTGTGTGCATACTAAGTTGCTCAGTCATGTCCAACTCTTTACGACACCATGGACTGTAGCCCGCCATGCTCCTCTGTCCATAGGATTCTCCAGGCAAGAACACTGGAGTGGGCTGCTGTGCCCTCCTCCAGGGGATCTTTTGGCCCAGGGGTCGATCCCCAGTCTCTTACGTCTCCTGCGTTGGCAGGAGAGTTCTTTACCAGTAGGGCCACCTGCAAAGCCCACCGCCTCCTCTGCTTTCAGTCAAGTGTCTTGGCCACCTCCCCAGTCTCATCTCTCCCCCTGCCCAACTCTCCTTACAGATGTACTGACTGCCCTGGCTGTCCCCAGCCTCCAGATCTTAACTAGCTGGAGTGACAGCATCCCCTTCAGTCTTCATCTGCCTCCTTCTCTCCTACCCCCAGCTTTGTCCTCACAGGTTACAAGCAGAGGGCTAAAAGGACAAGAACAAACAAATAAAGAATAAGGGGAACACTTGGATCATGCGTGTATGATCTATGCACCCCACATTTGTCATCTCATTTAATCCTTCACGACAACCCAATGACACAGGTACAGCCACACTCTTATTTTACAGAGGAGAAAACAGGAGGACTACAGGGACGGCATGAGGTCTTTGGTTTGGGGGCGGGTGGCCGTCAGCTCTCAAACACACGCACGCAGAAACTCTTACGGGCTCAGTTCCATCCTTCTTTCCACCAGAGCAGGCTCCTGCCCTTTTTTCTGATCTCTGTAATGATACACGGGGTTCTGCCATGTCAGTGCTCTGACCATAAACAACAGGTCACTGGCTCCTTGGGGCTCAGGGAACAGTCTCCAGGGGTGACGTGCTGAAGGATGGATGGAGGTGGGTGCTAGGGAGGGATTGGGTAGCTAAGGTCAGGGAACCTGATAACCACAGGGCCCCTTCTCTCCCCTTGCAGGCTGACCAGCAGGGCGTGAGTGCTGTCCATGTGGTGGTGGTGCTGACCGACAGCCCCCCTGGGGAGGACAAAGAAACTGGGGAACTGTCTCCACTGGGAGCTGTCCCCAAGGCCACAGTACTGATTTGGGATCCGGGTGGGTATAGGGACCGCTTGCTAAGGAGCTGTCCATGGTCTGTGGTGCTGACATAGGGCAAAGGGTTATAAGTGCCCCTAGAGCTACCCAGGACAGCAGTGCTGACTGATGGAGCCCAGGCTTGGGAAGTCTGAGGGGCTGGGTGTGGGTGGAGTAGGGAGGGCACAGGGCATTTTTCATGAGTTCTGTGATCAAGCATGGGTAGCTGACCCCAGGTATTTGGTGCTGTCGCTCAAAGCCAGGTTGTCAGGCAATGGGGTGTCCCTGGGAGCAGGCTTGAGCCAAGAAAATGAGACTAAGCAGAAGGTCGTTTGGGGCCAACTGCAGGACTAGAGAAGACTGACTTTGGCCCATCAGTGCCATCTGTCACCAATGCCAGAAGTCCCACCATTAATGATCCATTTTTTTGTGTGTTCTGCTTTATCCTTTCCCTCTGGTTCCTTCTGGGACTGTATTTAAGTGGCTGCATCTCAGTGTGTCTGAGTTTATAAAATTCTTTCCTCCATGGAATGGGGAAGGAAAATTCACCCACAGAAGTGCCAAAGAATGAGTTTAAGTTGGGAGACTACTTTTGAATCACTAAGTTCTTTGGGGTCCAAATCAGAGAAGCAGGAAGCTAAGGCTCGAGGAAAAGTCATTCTATGTGGCCTGAGCATACAGAGGCCAAGAAATAAAACTATATAGAAAAACGGAAAAGGCAGAAAGCAGGATTCCCAGATTCAGAGAAGGAGGGGAGTCAGACTGATGCGGGCACTGAGGTGGTATTTGTATGTGTTGGGCGGTGTTTTTCAGATTCTATGTCTCACTACTGAAGCAAGTCTTCTGGGCTCAAGAAGAACTATCCCTAGTTGGGGACTGTGCACTCACTGCCTTTCATGCTCCATCCCAGGTCACCTCTCTCAGTGACTCCTTGGTGGATAGCTAGCGATCTCTGTCTGGATGCTGTCTTGGCCTCAGATCTAAAGGTAGTGAATCAGAAGGCCTGGAGGCCAGAGGAGGAGCTGAGAGCAGGAACAGCCTCCCAGGCTAATGTTTCCTCTCCTTCCTCTCTTGATAAATGCTTCTCTGAGTGAAGCTCAGGACCCCAAAGCAGGGATGCTCAAAATGTGGTTCCCTAGGCATCACCTGGGGACTGGCTGAAACCTAGATTTCCAGGCCCAGGCCTGCAGAAATGAGTCACCCTCAGGTACTGGGGCTGGGAATTTTTAAACAAGCAGAACCACTGCCCTAGAGTTCATGGGGATTCCATTGCAGTCCTTCTTTGGGGCTTTCTTCCTCTTGTAGCCAACATTCCACTGGTTCTGGTTTCTAGACTCCTGTCTTGCTCTTGTAACCCAGTCTATGGCTCAAAATCACCTCCAGCTCCTGCTTTCTCAAATGCCACTTCCTGCTGGGTTAGGCCGTAGGATCTTCTGGGAATGACTCCCACCAGCCACTCCGGGGTCCTTCTGTCTTTACACTCTTGCCCACACCTGATGACCCTGTCCCTTCTTCCCACTCTCCAGTGGCGTCTCTGAACAATTCTGCCCAGGGGTCTGCACCGCTTCTCTGTTCTGGGCCAACTCTAGGCTTTTCCCACAGTCCTGCCCTTGACCCTCTCCCCGGCAAAGCCAGCCACCTAACATCAACTCGCATCCTAATGTGAGTGGTTCCCAAACTGACATTTCCACCCTGCCCTTTCTCCTACACTCTAGAACCAAACTCCCCACGACTACCAAATGTCACCTCTGAAGGTCGTCCAGGCTCTCAGACTCTCCCAAACGTCCCCGTCCTTCTGTGACCTGTGTGTCAATTATGGCATCTAAAGCATCCCCCCAGGGTTGGACCATTCAGTTCAGTCTGTTCAGTCGCTCAGTTGTGTCTGACTATTTGCGACCCCATGGACTGCAGCACGCCAGGCTTCCCTGTCCATCACCAGCTCCTGAAGTTGGCCCAAACTCGTGTCCATCGAGTCAGGAGCTGGACCATTAGGGTCGCTCTTGGCTCTGTTCCCTCTTTGTACTCAATCAGGTGCCCGAGCCCAGGGGGCAGTGGGGTAAGAGCTCAGGCTTCACCGTCTTCCTCACTGCCCTGGGCTCCTGACCCTGCTCAGGTTCCCCATTCACAACCTCTCGACTGGCTCCTCACCCCCTTCACTGTCCCCAGTGTGATGCTGACATGGACTCCTGCTTACTGAGTGGCTCTGAAAACATCGGATTCCACAAGAACCCCATGAAGTAGGCATTCTTATGCCTATTTTACAGATGAGGAAACTAAGACTCAAGGAGGTGGAATAACATCATGTCCAGGTCACATAGTTAATAAGCAGCTGAGCCAGGAGTAGAGTTGGGACCTGTCTGACTCTGAAACCTCTCAGATTTGAGCATGTCATGCTTTGGATTAAAAATATCACTAGCTCCTTGGTGACTGTTTTTTTTTTTTAAAGAAAAAACCAAACAAAACATATTCACGACCACTGCATCCAAGAGCCTGCTTCACTGGCTCAGAGCCAACTTTCCTGGGCTCTGGTGTGAGTGAACTCCTTGTGTTTCCTAAACAACAAACACATGCTCCTCCTCCCCGCTCCCCCCACCCCCAACTCTCTGTAGACACTGTTTCCTCTCTCCAGGATTGTCTACACCCGCTTTGCCACTATTCAAAAACCTTCCTTGCAGGGACTTCCTTGACAGTCTGGTGGTTAAGACTTCACCTTCCAACGCAGGGGGTGTGGGTTTGATCCCTGGTCAGGGAGTTAAGATCCCACATGCCTTGTGGCCAAAGCACCCAAAACATAAAACAGAAGCAACAGTGTAACAAATTCAACCAAGACTTAAAAAATGGTCCACATAAAAAAGTAATTTTTAAAAAAGGACAACAATAACAAAAACATCCCTTCCGCTCTAAGGTCTGGCCTTAATGCTAACTTCGTTGTGATGTATTTACTTTTGTGGTTCAGTTGCTAAGTCGTGTCCGACTCTCTGCAACCCCACTGACTGTAGCCGGCCAGGCTCCTTTGTCCATGGGATTTCCCAGGCAAGAATAGAGAGTGGGTTGCTATTTCCTTCTCCGGGAGATCTTCCCAACCCAGGGATCGAACCCACGTTGTCTGCGGCTCCCGCGTGTCAGGCAGTCTCTAATTCCTCTCTTATAGATTTGAACCGCCTTCCCTCTTTCAGTCCATCACGTGTGGCTCATTCCTCAACTTCGCACCCTCCACCCTCAGTCTTGGGTGGGTTCTGCCAGCTTGCCTGCCCCACTAGATTAAACTCCCTGAGGACAGAGCTTCCCCAGCCCCCAGCACAGGACTGTTTTCCACCAGTGCTGGTTCCATGGCTGAGGAAACAACTAGACTGTGGAAAGACAACAGATCTGGGGTGCAGTCTGCATTTGGAAAGTGGAAACTGGCAGGCCGAGTGGCCGCACAAGCAGATGCTGAATGCAGCTGGGGGTTGCGGGGGCAAGCGTTACAGCCAGCAAGTTGGCAAATGGGCACCTAAGACTTGGGAAGCAGATGGTCCAGTATCCCATTTCCCAGACAGGCAAATGGAGGCTTTGCCAGGTTAAGGAAGTTGCCCACGGTCACATCACCGTTGGATCTGAACCCAAGCAATCTAGAAGCCCTGCCTAAGTCCCTCCTGAGATGACTCAGAAGCCTGGAAGGCGGTGGTGGCGAAGGCAGTGGGACACCCTGGGGCACTTGGGCCCAGCAGGGAGAAGCCTCCGCCCGTGTGGGCTACACTGGTCAGGTCCGCGTCTTCTGCCAGGCCCCGTGTGACATCCCACTGGGGTCCCTGCGGTCTGGCCCTTGTACTGTCCGCCACCCCCACGTGTCTCTGTTCTCTGCCCAAAGCTGGAGGGCAGGGGTAAGGTCAGGGTGGGGCACTCAGAATCTGTCAGGAGGTAGACCCAGGCTCAGGCTCAGGGACCTGGTGGGGCGCTGGGAGCACAGGGCGCCCCACACCTAGCCTGCCCTCCACGCTGACTGCCCTGGCCCCAGAGTCACAGCCCTGGGGGCTCCAGACCCCAGACCCCAGAGTCCCGTGCCTTGTGGGCCCGCAGCATCTCTTTGGCTCCTGCACCCGGCAGGCCGGCTCTGCAGGCCCTCCCCTGACACGGCATGGCCGTCCCGGCCACTGCGGAGCCAAACAGAATCTGCCCGGCACCTTGAACAGATGGTGCCGCTTCTAAAAATAACGCTCCCCTGCGCAGCCGGTCCCCGCGACAGAAGGGGGTGCGGGTGGGGGTGGGGGCCGCGAGCTGCGCTCACCAGCCATCTGCACGGAGACAGATGCGAATGCAGCCTCCCCAGGGACGCGGGCCCAGGGGACCCCAACCTCACGGAAGCTGTGCAGAGCCACGGGCCTGCTGCTGAGGTCCGGCCCTGAAGTGAACGTAAGGAGGCGAGGCGGGGGTGTGCAGCCTGGCATTCCCACTCGGAACACTGGCTCTTCTTCGCCAGTCACCTTTGACCCCATGTCTGGGTCCCTATGCCCACAATCCCTAGTGCCATCTTCTCTAGGGAATTTCCTTCTACTCCCAGCAAGCTTCTCTTTCCATCCACAGAGTCTTTAACCACTTTTCATTGGATTCACAACCTAGCAGGGTCAGAACCCCTTTGTTTGAGGCTGAGAGCCAAAGAATTGATTCTTTGGAACTGTGGTGCTGGAGAAGACTCTTGAGAGTCCTTTGGAAAGCAAGGAGATCCAACCAGTCACTGCTAAAGGAAATCAACCCTGAATATTCGCTGGAAGGACTGATGGTGAAGCTGAAGCTACAATACTTTGGCCACATGATCCAAACAGCTGACTCACTGGCAAACACCTTGATGCTGGGAAAGATGGAGGGCAAGAGGAGAGGGGGTGACAGAGGATGAGATGGTTGAGTGGCATCACCGACTCGATGGGCATGAGTTTGAGCAAACTCTGGGAGAGAGTGAAGGACAGGGAAGCCTGGTGTGGTGCAGTCCATGGGGTTGCAAAGAGTCGGACACTACGGAGCAACTGAACAACAACTCTTTGCCCAGCCCCTTGTCACTCAACAAGAGTGAGAGAGATCTGCGCGAGAACCCTCAATCTGCCAGCCCTGAGTGATCGTGGGTAAATCAGGGCAGCTCTCTGGCCTCAGCTGCCACATCTGTAAAATGGAGACAATAATCATCCCTACTTTGCAGGGTGGTGGAGGAGACAACATGAATTGATGCAGGGTACAGGGTTCAGGCCAGGGCCTGGCCAGCGACAGACACACGGTCAACAGGAATGATAGCGATTTCTAGATGAGGAAACAGAGACCGTGAACGGAAGACACTGGCCCCAGGCCACAGAGCAGGTGTTGGCAGAGCCAGGTTCAGGCCCAAGGCCTCTGCCAGAGCTTTCTCCCCCCCGACACAGCCCTCTCTAATGTTTCAGCGATGTGTCTCACCTTCATGCTTGTGCAGGTGTTTCCCTGAGTGCTAGTCCATCTCCAGTCCCAGGAGCTGGCCAGGAGGCCTAAGGGACTCCTTGAAAATACCTCCTCCCCATGTCTGGCAAAGAACCAGCCCTGAACCCCAGCCTGACCCTTCCAGCTTCTCATGGAAGTTCAAGTCCTGCCAGAAAAGTTTAAGATCTCAAAACCCAAAGTGCTCCCAAGGCCCCAGGAGACCCCACTCCTTGGACCCTGGAGGTGCCTACATAGGCAGACCTCTCATGATGGCCCCCAATGGCTCTGCCCCCTCTGATTTCCCAGCCGTGCAGTGGCTCTCCTCCTCCTCCCAAGTCCGGTAATGAGGCTACCTGGGAGAGGTGGGGTGAGGGGCTCTGTCTCCTTCCTTTTCCCTGGGCATGGCCCAGCACTCCCGTCACCATGAATCTGCTCTTCAAAGGTCCCCCTCCAGCCATGGCTGCCCCTCCCCTCTCTTCTGGGGTTCCCCACGGCTCTGGGAGCCTCCCAGAAAGGGAGGGATACCGGGACTCCTGGAGGTACTGATGTCTCCTAGACTCCAGGCCTCGTGTCACACCGCCTCTAGGGCCTGCTCTCTGCGGGGGAGTTTATGTTTGGGGTCTCAGATGCAGTCAGAACTCACGCTCAAATCGCGCACAACTCCCAAGTCCCGGAAGCTTTCTCCAGGCCCCCTCAGTCACTCCCTGTCTCTCTAGACACTTCAGTCCCTGCCTCCTACTGCTAAACAGGGCCTCATTACCCCAGACTCGTTATTAGAACCGGCTGACCAGCCCAGAGCTGGCGCCTCTCTCTCCCTCTCCAGGGTCAGGCCTGGCACAAAACGGGTGCCGGGTTTGTGGGGGGCTCCTACGTGTGCATCTTCAGAGGGTGGCCATGGACCCCAATGACATCAGGCCTGCTCAGAGCCGGTCCTTGTCCACCACTTCCCGGACTCCGGGGGCACTCCAAGAAGCCCCTCCCCAGAAGTGGTTGTCGTTCAGTAGCTCAGTCATGTCTCACTCTTTGTGACCCCGTGGACTACAGCCTGCCAGGCTCCTCTGTCCACGGGATTTCCCAGGCAAGAATACTGGAGTGGGTTGCCGTTTCCTTCTCCAGGGGATCTTCCCCATCCAGGAATCAAATCTGCGAAACCCGTGTCTCCTGCAGGCGGATTCCTTACCACTGAGCCACCTGGGAAGCCACTATTTGTACTCTGAGGGAAAGCCAGAAGAGGCGTTGATTCCCCAAGCTTACTTGAATCCAGAGACCAGGAGGGCCCTCAGAGGTCAAAATCCCCATGACGCTCAAGCCTCTTCACAGCACCTGTGTAAAGTCCTGTTTGTGCTTGCATGCCTCCCTTGACAGGGGTTTCACTCTCTCCTTCCACCTGGGGCTTCCCATGGCTCAGTAGGAAAGACTCCACCTGTCAACCAGGAGACCCAGGTTCGATCCTCGGGTCAGGAAAAATTCCCTGCGGGAGGAAATGGCAACCCACTCCAGTATTCTTGTCTGGGAAATCCCATGGACAGAGGAGCCCAATGGGCTACAGTCCATAGGGGTCGCCAAAAGACTGATTCGATTTAGTGACTAAACAACACCAATGCTAGTAATTCCTAAATTCTTTGGGTTGAGCTGAAATCTGGCTAACATTTTTTGTTTGTCTGTTTTATGGTTAATGGACTCACACACGATAACCCTGCTCCCTCTTCTCCTTTAGACATTCATTACCATGGGCACATACACGTGTGTGTGCCAGGGCAGAATGTGTGAATGGTTGTGCAATCCTGAATACACAGACAGGCGTGTGTCCATGTGTGTCAGGGTGGGGGAGCACAGAGGTAGGTTGCACAAGGGTTGTATAAACTCGCCTGAACATGTCTGAGTGAGGGCTGTGCTGGGATGTGCAGAAATGTATGTATTTTGGAAAAAATAAGACTTTAGATATAGGGGGCTGTTAGGGAGTCATGAGTCATGGCAAAGAGTTTCATTACTACCTTGAGATTACCTTAGCCTCCCAGTTTGGGAGATGGGTGGGTGGTGAGAGGGGGCGCCCACAAAGGCTCCAGAACAGAACAGAAGGCCAACCTGTAGCAGAGGCTTTGTCACCGCCTCCACGGCCAACTGCAAGGTGGCCTTGAACCTCTGAACCCCATACCACATCACCAGATGACTTTATCTCTCAGGGAACTCTGCCATTATAGCTTGCCTTGAACAAAAAGACAGTGACAACAGAATACCATTTATATAAGAGCGGTCATAAAATGTTTTTCAGCTTGAAGTTCACAAAGAATCCACTGATTATTTAAATTTCATGAATAAAGACGAGAAAGACACAGGAGCCTGTGGTGGGGGGCCTGGCAGAGATTGATGTCTCTGGGGGGAACCTAGGGGCTCAGAATCCTGCACAGAACATGCACCTCCAGGGCTGGTCATCCCCAGCCATGGTGGATGGGCCTTGGGAGGTCTGCCCTTAGCTGTAACTGTGCCACTGGTCTTACCTCTTTGAACCTGAGTTTCTCCATCTGTAAGATGAGGAAGTCAGACTAGATGGCTTCTAAGAGACCCTCGCGTACTGGCTTGTGCTAAGTCTTGGACACTGGATCAGGCCCAGGGAGGGGGACCTCTGTGGTTCTGGAATCCCCTCCCCCATGGGCATGTTTGCCTTCAGGTTGGCCAGAGGCATCTCTGGACACTGGGACATCTATGGAGGCAGGGTGATTTTCTCCTTTAAAAAATTAAAAAATCAACTCAGTGCTGCCTTGTGAAAAATCCGTCCTGGTTTAGCACAAGCTCTTCCCTCCCACTTGCTTCTCCTCTGTCTGCTAGAATCCTATGCACCGTACAGGGCCCCACTCGAGAGAGGCCCCTCCTCAGAGAACACTATGCTGAGCCCACTCTCCAGGCAGGATCAGTTGATCCCTCCACCGGGCTAGACCGTTCACACCAGGGGACTATGTCCATCTTTCTCCGGGTCCCAGGGTATATGACAGGGTCAGTGTCTGACAGAGGCTTGCTGACAGACCACAGAAACCCATAGCTTGACCTCAGAAACAGGGAGAACAACATTGCCTGGGACCTGGGCTCATCCACTGCTTCCACAGGTGCTTGCTTTTGAACACAAAGGCAGAGAGCATACACTGAGAACCTACTGTGTGCCTGGCACTGGATGGTGCCTCCAGGAAGGATGGTTCCAGGAAGGATGGCTCCTGAAGCCTAACTTGAGGAAATGAGATCCCCTCCCTGGTGGGGAGGTGGTCACAGTAATCATGGCATCAGAGCAGCAGTAACAGCAATGCAAAGAATCATGTGTGTGTCAGTCATGTCTGACTCTGTGACCCCATGGCCTACAGCCCATCCATGGGATTCTCCAGGCAAGAATATTGGATTGGGTTGCCATTTCTTCCTCCAGGGGATCTTCCTGACCCAGGGATTGAACCTGGGTCTCCTGCATTGCAGGTGGATTCTTTACCAACTGAGCCACCAGGGAAGCCTAATTTTATTATTAGTGTCTGCTGCTCCTTATATTTAATTTTGTCTGCGCACAACCTTGCTCATACTCACAACAGCCTCCAAGGCTGGAATTCTGATTTCCTTTACTCTACAGAGGAGGACACTGAGGTTCAGATGGTGGGGTGATTGGCTAAGGTCACATTGGGTCCTGCACTAGGGACTGACTCCCAAAGCTATACTCTTGACCTTGGCATGCAACAGATTCCCAGACCTGGACCCAGTGGATGTCACAGGAGTGGAATGTGTTGTTCTGCAGGGAGAGAAAGCCAGGGCCACCCTGTTCCGCCGCCTCAAGGGGGAGGATACAGTGCCTGGCCTCCAGGTGGGCTGTGGGCTGGGGGCTGGGAGGAGGCCCCTAGGCTTTGCCAACTTTAGCATCCATAAGGAAACCCCCAGTGGGATTCTGGTCCATTCCATTGCTGACAGGTGCGAGGCAGGGTCTTTGGCTGACCCGGCAGGTTGAG